GGGGGGGGGGGGCGGGGGGGTGCGATGAATCCGGACATTGATTGAGTGTTCGGATCCATCACACCCCCGCCCCATCCGTGGGGCGCGTCCCGAGTCGAGACACTTAGTATTATACGTCGTTTTGTCAGGATTGACGGCATGAAAGTAGAAGGCCTCAAAATACAAATATCACATCCCCTTCCTCTCCATAAACAACAGCTTTGTAGCATGCGGTTGCCTTGTTTGCCTCGACTGCTTTCATAGACTGCTTACTTGCATCAATGGTTCTTGCTGTCCCTTGGCTCCCACACTTATCTCAATCCCCTGAACTTTACAGTCTATGATCATACCCCTTAGCCTCAGCTTAGTGCCTGACTTTCTCACCTTCAAGGCAATGTCGCAAATCACACACTGGGTTATCGAGAGCCCTGTTCCAGAAAGCCCCGCGACTCTCATGAGAGATGATGTCATCTATCGTTATAGAACCTTCGATTTGGTAGGTTACACAGCTAGGCCCCCAAACTATAAGCTCACCTCGATTAGACTGTTGCTATTGTCCCTCTGGAGAAAACCCATACGGTGATACAGCGTCATCACAACCAGGACGCGGTAGCAAGACCTAGAAAGCCCAGCGAGATTACAACGCAAACTTTCTCGTTGTCAACGCAATGGCGAGTCTTTCAGCACAATTTCGAAGTAAGTTTGTCAAAAGTGGACTGGAGAAGGCAACTGACACTTCATTTCGCAGGCGATCTCTCCTGAAGAGCAGCATCAAGTTTTCAGGATCTGCGCGGCCATTGCTCCCGAGCATAATAGACGAACCGACGCAGAATGGCGAGATTCCATTAGACGTTTGCCATCAACGGAAACGAACTGTTTATCACCTTTGTTGCTCCATGTGTCCTTCGAAGTTTTCCGTACGAGCTGTGCAGCACCGCATCTCCTTCATGACCCCAGGCTCCTTCAGAGATCAGCAAACGATAACTTAGCTGAACTAAGGAAGCTTCTTGGCGCAACAGAGGATATATCGTGCAACATCTTAGCCTTAGAGGATCGAATCGTTCGCGGTTTGCCCATCGGATTCACCAAAAAAGTATACGAGAGTTTGCCATCCGCCTTGATCAATATCCTGCCATTCGAGACGGTCTCCAGGGCTCTGAGTATGATGTACAACGACCACCCTACAAGCGATCGTAATCATGAAACTGACGCAAAATAGTGATGAGATGGAGCCCCGTATGCGCAAACCAAATCATAAGTTCGGAGTGCTTCTCTGGCAATGTGCAGTCTCGCAAGAGGATAGCATTTTGTTTCGCGATTGGATGGCATCTGATGATGGCAAGCTTCACTATTGCCGAGTTAAAGATAGCTTACGTCAGCCTCTCACTCAAGAAGAAGTCGAGCTGTCTCTAACAACTTTGCGATGCTACGAGCTGGTCCTTGCTCCTGATTATTGGTGGAGAGATGTGAGGCCTCTGGTTCCCGCAAATTCATATGTGCGGGGCTCAAAGCGTCGGGAGGAGTCATGGATTGATGCATTCACAAAGCACCTCAACGGGCTTGCACAAAAACCTCCGCTGGACTTATGGAAAGTAGCGGGCTCTTCTTTCAAGGACGCTTGCAACGATGCTCCTCTACGCTGGTTGGATGCAGTCCTGGATAAAAGGCCACCCTCAGATGTGTTTGTCCAGACGTATTGGCAATTCTATTTGACCGTAACGAAAGATGCCTCATGCAATGCGCTTGCAGGTCAGGCAATGCAGCGACAGGCCTCACAGAGAGGGTATTAGTTTGGCAGACGATGGATCTTCCCTTTATTCGCCCCTTTTGTATTTCACCCAGACATCCTTTAGCATCTGTCCTCTTTGTATCGTATCTAGACATTTTGATTTATTTCTGGGCTTGAGTCTTAACATGGGTTGTTGTTCCTTGCAAGTGTAATCATCATCACTTTTGTGATTTTTACAGCATTTCTCGTATTTTGGTCGCTGCTCTAACACCGAAAAGCGGGATTGCGGCCAGGTTGGCGCCATAACTGATAAGCATATGTGGCAAAGAATAAGATTCATAATGAATACCGGAGCAACTACAGTACTAGATCGCATTACTGTTGTATTTATCCTGTCCATATCTGTTACCCCTTCCTTAACAATGGCGTTGCACTCGAACTCATTTCATGCAGTACCGACTTGAAGTTACCTTCAGTGTCAGTAGGAAGCTGACTTGGATATTCTTACCTGGCTTATCTGGTCGGCTTCCAAATTCTCAAAATACCTGCTAGAGCGATGAAGCCGGTTGGTAAAATATGTCATGCGATGACAATTTGGTTGACAAATATTTCAAAAGGGTTGCAAGAAAGTCGAAGAAGAAGGAAATGTCCGCCAAGTCCACCAAAATCAGGAAAAGGGTCAGAGGTTACCAATCAGGAGACAATACGCAAGAGAGGAGATGATGTTATGTGAGTCGATTACGCTTCTGCCGTTGTCTCATACGGCTCTTGTTGCGCCTTCTTTCTACCAAATCGACAGGCACTAGCCGTCCATATGTTGGCTCACTTGGTCCGCCATGGACAACAGTCTGTAACCCAGTCCTTTCTCCATGAAACTCAACAAGAAATTTGCGCAAAGCCTTCCCATTGCGCGGAGAACTACAGAGATCTTGTTGGCAGGGCTCGAGAGCAATGGGAGACTCTTCGAAACTGGCCACGAAGTCGCTTCATGTCATTGTGAGTGTGAATACTATACGTTGATAAGATGTTTAACTAACAGTCGACTTTTTGGTTTGCAGAAGCATCTTTAATTAATTTCTGCAACACCAGGCTTCCATATACACCGACCAAGATCAGTACTTGGCTCAATTGTCACGATCGATGCAGTTTCGCGGTAAATTGAGCTTCCGCAGAAGTTGGTTCCAATCACGTGTCGACCTAACTATCTCAAAATCACATTTCTGGTGGATTGTAACCTAGCTCTTCATTGTAACCTCACCTCCAATACTTGCCTGTATAACTGCGGCGCTCTGAATCTGATGTTTGCATAATTGCCTCCTTTTCACGTAGTTGATCGCCCTCGAACACGCATACAGTATGGACATGCAACAAGACAAACCATCCGAGAGGGAGATACACCCTCCAAAACGAAAACATGACGACCTTGTCCAATCATCTAGTTCGGAAGCTGATGGGAAGAAAAACAAATCATACAGTTGGCGAGAGCTCCTTGAATACACCAAACATCGCAGAATGCAAGAGAGCTCTGATGAAGAACACGAGCCTGTTGAAAATATTTCCCAACCACTCCCATTCCACCCCGAGACCGTTCCGTCACGTCCTAGCTTGCCGCACCAGGACCGCGTTCATTCAGCCAAAGTTCCGGACGGCGATTCTGGAAACGAAGACGACATTCCATTTAGAGATGCTGCGACTGGTAGTGAGGAAGGTGATAAGGAAACTCTTGATAATGCCGTGGATGGGGCTTCGGACTCAGAAAAGTGGGTCAGCTCAGACGACGAACAGAAATCGAATGTTTCATCAAATTGAAGTTACTACGAAGTTGATAAGCTTTAATGAATGACACATTCGTGTTGCTGACTGGCGATGCTATTTAGCTTTCGGCCGGGCATATGTCCTGGCTTCAAATCTATTGTTCCCCCTCTAATGAGTTGCCTCGACTCCAAACCTTCATCAGTGAAGTCACGCCTGGCAAGATTTGCAATCAATGACCGTCAAGGTTCTCAATGCCATCCTCAACTATTAACACCCGACACTACTTTCGTTTTGTTATACCCAAAGCCCTGCTTTTACTTATTTGCCTTTCGTTATCCTTTGTGCCAAATATTTCATTCAAGGCCCTGGGAGTAATTGCTCCTAAGTATGAGGACCGCGTGCAAGTCTTGCTTCCCTTCATCTGCGATCAGATCCAAGTTGAGTGTTGGCGTCCATTTCAACCCGTTCTGGATCATGCTTCATATCTTTCTTTGATGCATGGGCAGGATGCCTCCACCAAGGGCTCTGTTCGAAAATCAGACTCGCTGCACACTATTTTAAAAGGCCTAGTACTGAAGGCGATACCAACGGCGGTCACCAGTACTATGGTTACCGAAGGCCTAGGCTTTCCGTTCTGGGCCGCATTCTCACTTACTACTGCTCTACTATTCATGATGGGAGCGGTTAATTTTTGGTTGTTTCTTCCCCTCACAGAAACAATACGGAAATGCAAAACGATACGAGATGATAACCTGTATGGTTCCCTTTCAGGATGTACCGAGGAAAGACTGACTGTAGAGTAGGGTGAATGGACCAGTCGACCATAATATGGAGGTTACATATATTGCATCCTGCAAAACCAATGCAATGCTGCGCTCTCTATGGAACGTAATCCTCTCACTCGGTATTATCATAACGTTCCTATTTGTAAAGGATACAAGAAACTACGCAAACTACATTCGACTTGCTCATCAAATACGTTCTATGGATGATACATATGAGAAGATAGCTAAAAGCTTTCCGGAGGCGATAAAAATTATCAATGAGATGAAGATCGGGGACGGTATCACTCAAAAGTTCTATGAGGCGTGTTTGCAGATCACTGAGGTCAGGCCTGTGTCCATCCGCGACGTAAATGGGATCGGTGTCTCAAGAGAAGAACGACATAGATTTTTCGCCAAGGCATTAACCACAGTTATTCGCACAAACCTCTTCCGAACTCAGTACAGAAGAATCGGACTGTTTAGCGAACCGTTTGTCGATCTGGAACAAGGAATTTCGAACCATCTCAACCAAGATCCAATGCTGAGGACTGCGCCACTCTACTTATCATATGCAACTCTATAATACTAAGAAATCCTTTCCTCTTAAAGCTTGAAATTGAGACAATCGTCTGTCCAGTAGTGAGCTCCACCAGACTAAGGCATATATGCTTCTAGAGGCTGTCTTGTAATTCGTCTAAAAGGAATTCCAACACTCAATAGATCGCTACAAACTTAGGCTCTGTAGCGAGTTATCGGTAATCGCTAAGCGCTAGGATGAGTCGGGATGAGTCTCGGTGAGCTTTTCGAGTACTTAAGAAGGCCGCAAGTCTATTGCACCCCTCAAGTTTTCTCCCTGGACAAAACTAACGACGCCAGAATAGTTAAGTAAAAAAGACCCTACCAAGTTACTACGTCTTAATATGAAGCCTCTTGGCCTTTTGTTCTTCCTTTCTATTATCTTATGGCTAGTAACGTATGCCGTATCACCGCCGTACCCAAACAAAGACGATAGGCTTTGTCTTCGTCCCCCCGCATTTTATACCCAGGACGTAAAAGACCGCTTTTGTATCCAGGATGGCCCATCTTCGAATTCCCGTCCCAACATTGTCTTGCTGGCCCTCGGGGGGACTGTCAGTGCTGTGGCTGACTCTCCTACAAATACATCTCATTATACCGTTGGTGTTTTGTCTATTCATTCTCTGTTGCAGAATATTACAGAAAGATGGAGCCCTTGCGTCAATGTGACCGCTTACCAGATCATGTCACTTGACAGCATTGACATGAACTCATCACACATGATATCGATGAGCAGGAGGGTCAACAAGGAGCTCAACAATCCCGATGTAACAGGGGTCATTCTTCTTGGTGGTACAGATGCTATGATCGAGTATTTAACATTCATTGCTCTTACCGTAAAGAGCAAAAAGCCCATCATAGGTACGGGGGCATATAGACCACATACAGCACACGATGCCGATGGGCTTCAAAACATCGTCGACGCAGTCATATTGGCAGCGACAGAAGGCTGGAGTGAGGACTATTATGAAGTTGCTATGGTCATGGACGGTGATATCTTTCGTCTTTGGGGGACACGAAAGGAGAACGACCGGTTTGTACCTGGATTCGGGTCATCGATCGGGAGAGTTGAAGGATACCGGGTATCTTTTCACGATCTTCCTGGCCGTCCCGCGCCCTTCAAATTCGACATGACCGAGTTTTCAAGCGTTTCTTTACTGCCGGTGGTCCCGATATTCTTAGTGCACACTGGATTCGACTACAAAGCCCTCGAGAAAGCCGTTGATGAGGGAGCCCGAGGACTCATCATAGGTGTATATGGTAATGGATATATACCTGCCACAACTGGGACAGCAATCACAAAACTCGCGTACGAAAAGGATATCGTTGTTATGGGAGCTGGGGTTAATTCTGTGGCGGTCACCTATGCGAGAGTCAAAGGTATGATTCCTGGACAGGATTGGGATGCACGCCAACTGCGAATCCTGACTCAGCTTTACCTCGTACAAGGGAAGGGTACGAACAAGCACGAGCTGAAGAAAGGGTTAGAGCATGGAGCTAAGCCACATATATCTGCCGAGTAGAGTGTTGTGATCTGCAAGACGGATATCAAGGCAAACGATGGTACATTGGAAGAAAGTTGAGGAAAAAGAAAGCGAGCCGATACTGCTTATAATGGCATATGTTCGGCTTAAGGTTAACCAGTCATAGCTTGCTGCGACTGCGTGATTTGGAGATAGCGGAGACGACAAGTCTCACCGATTGTGGCTGTTAGACATTACAGCAACCGGAGTATGGAAGTTCTAAACCCTTGCTTAGTCTAGACATGATGCTACACCATTTTTGTTCAGTCCACATCATCAACCTCTTGATCAACCTCAACGTAGTCTGCCTCTTATTCGAAAATTTATCTCTCGTGAGATGTGAAGGAAAATCGTGTTTTGATCAACAACATGATGATATCTCATCTGGTATACTTCGGGATCACGGTCGTTGGGAGCACCATGCAATAAAAGCCTGACGATAATTGTTGGTGGAGAGCCTCAGGACCGAATGTGTGGGGACGTCTGCGTGGGGTGAGGGGACATCGTGTAAACCCATTTGCACCACCAAATCGCCAGTCGACTGCTTGAATGAGATATGGAGCCCAGAAGACTCGGATGTGAACTTGTATAGGCGATGGATAGAATTTAAGTTCCGTAGATGTGGGAGTCGGCAATGGACTGCTTGTTGACGATGTTGATATCTCAAACACGTCGTCGTCCAAAAGTCGCATGGTTGAGCCTTGGGTTCTGATGGTTCCTTTTACGCCGTTATTGACAATGGCTGCATTTCACTGCGCCTTTCCTATCTTTCACGGACAAGTTCAGGTTTCCAAGTGATTCAGCTGCGCCGACGGATAGTCAAATGCTTTCTTGCACTTACCACCGGTTAGACATCTCATGTGCTGGTATCGAATCGACGCTTTCTGCTATTCCAATACAGGCTTGCTATAGAAGATACTTCTGTATATGTCGCATTCTGTGTGCTTCTGGGATACTTTCTGTGGATGTAACTAGATAGCAGTCGCAAAGACGAAACTGATTTGGAAGGGGCAAGAATCTTAGAAAGAGGCGTTGGAGTGTGCAGATCTCTCAAGAAAAGAGAAAGAGAAAAAGAAAAGGGTCCAGAAAATCAAGATCAAGGTTAATGTTTCTTTGAACAATAACATCAGGAATAGGAACGTTAACTGTGAGTCAAGTTGACCTTTGTTATTTATTGATTGACGCTCTAAGGAAAAAAAAAAAAAAAAAA